CTTCTTTCCTTCTGCTTTTCTGCTTCTACATTTTTGTTTCATGCTTTCTGACTTACCTCAAAGTGACCTTCTTACAATTTCTTTCCAGTTTAAAAAAAAAATTTATTTTATTAATACTTTAAATAAAAATGACGAGTAACTTAAGCAAATGACATAAGTTCTCAAGAAATTGATTGCATTTGCTGATCTATTCAGTCTTCTGATGACTGGCAATGTTCAGAGAAACTTGAAGGCAAAGTAAAAACTATAGCTCTAGGCCTCGCCTAGTTAGGTCAGTTTCTTGCACATTTTGATATTTTCTCCTTTACAGCAATATTCTACATGGAAAGACTGGCAATCATTAAATCAAGATCTTAATAAGCCACTAAGAAAACAACCAATTTAGAAATACACACTATGTACAAGTGACCCATTCTGACCTTCTGCATATTGAAAACAATTCCCAGTTCAAGCATGCAGTGTGGGTGCCTCCCCATCCAGTTAGGCATTCTGTCAGGAAGAAAAAAAAAAAAAGAAAAAAAAAACATTATTAAAAAGTAACACACGTGTTCCTATATTTTAATTACCCAATAATTACTCTCTTATTGTTCAGTCAAACTCTAAACATACAATCACGTGCAAAGAATCTACAAAAAGCAAGTTTAGAAGCCAGGTGTTTGCTGAGATCCCCCCAAAAAACACTGTATGGATGAAAACCTGAGAGGGTAACTGAGATTCAAAGCAAACCTGTGTGCACCCTATGACATATGGCAAATAATTATTTGGCTTGTCTTATAAAAGATGGAAAAGGATTATTTTGTAGTGCACAGTACTGAGCTAAAAATTGCCACCAGTTATTATCCTGGTTTTGGACTCTCTTGTATGAAGACTTTCCTCAATCTTTTTGTTATTAGTCATAAACAAAAAAATTCAATAAATAAGCTGTAATGATCAGTTAAGAACATTGGTTGCTTTAATTATTTGCAGACTTCCACTTTTGGTTTAATAAGGACGATCTGGATTTTTCTTTTCAGTTATTTGATAAGAGTAGTGTGAAAGTTCATTTTGGATAAAAACACATGAGAAATGAAGGCAACCTTAAATTTCAAAACCAGAAGCAACTCAGAAGAGTTCACTACCCTTATCATAGGCTAAATGGATTATGAAAAATTGTTTGAATTCTTCACATATGGCTTGTGTGACTCATTTGCGATACATGCTAGAGTGCTGGAAACAGCTCATGGATGTGAACCTCAGTGACTGTTGCGTAAGATTTAGTAATCTTATATATCTCAGGATTTAGTACCTTGCATATCTGTCTAGAGGAATAAACAGTCAGATACAGGACAAAATCTTAGAAGAGCAGTGGTAGTGATGCAACACATACGATATATGATTCTCCTCTCTTGCCCCCCTAAATCTCTCCAGTTTCCTCTTTATCTCTCTGGGTATTGTTTTTCAAACCCAAAACCCCCCTCAGTGTGCCTTTCCTTTTCTATTAAAAAAAAAAAAAAATCATGGAGTAAAAGAAGTAAAATTAGACCATAAATAAAATAGATTATGATCAATTTACAAAGGGAAATGATCCTGTGGAAGACTGTTGGCATATTATTGTAGCAGATCTTTTTGGTTATGCTCTATTGAATATTTGTCCTGCTTTCTATCTCATAAAGGCTGAGACTTCTGTCACAAGTCCTTGCACACTGAAAACCTTAAATGTCATTCTTGTATTGCCTTGCCACAATTCCCTGCTCACATTTTATTTTTGTTTTCTCCGTGGTATATGCACTTGCTATCCACATCAACCACATATATTGGATAGATTTTTCCACAAAGTACCCTTTTGTACCTCTCCCTCCTTCCTGCCCTTATTTATTAAATTAAACCATGAAGCACAGTAAAAGGTATGAGCATCAAGTTATTTTCATTTACTGGCTCCCAATTAAGCACTCAGCTGTTGCACTTGAGAATAATAGCCATCCAGGAATCCTCGCACAAGCTAAAGCAAGGAGAGTGGTAGGCAGAAGGACCCTTACTACAGCAGTCCTCATGGATGACCTGTTCTAAGGATCACTGGGAGCTGGCATTGATCTATTGAAGAATAGAAGGCTGACTGGCTAATGAAGGCATCAGTAGGAGTACACTCAAGACAAAGGTTTGGTGTTCAGTGTTTTGACACATGGTGCAGCAGCAGTGAACCTCATGTTAAAACTACACCTCTTAATGGCTATATTTTATTTTCTTAGAAGCATAAGGTGAGAAGCAAAACAAAAATAATACCATTTTGAAGCAATATTAGTGTGAATACAATGCAGTAGAAATTGAATTAGCCGTGAGTCCCTGCTGAGCTGTAGGAAATAGCTGTTAAAGCTAATTCGCATTGTAACACATAATGGTATTATCGATTTACTTGATACATGGTTGATGAGTGTAATTTTTCAGGCTCTTTGAATACAGTAAATCCTGTTTACTCTTTTAGTGCAAACCTGCCTGCTGTCTATAATTCGACTTTCCTTTTATTGTCTCCTCATTGTTCATTCAAATAGGCCTACCCACATTCCTTCACTAGGACTTGATAACATATTCTGTGGGAGCACCTGCGTGACCTTTTTATTACATCTCTGTTATCCTTTGTGACAGTGTAGTGGGCAATTCAAGAGAAACTAACAGCTGAATGGCAGGGGAGCATTAACCCCTTCAGGGACTGCACTTCATGGAAACATCATGATACCACATCATGGAAACAGGAGGAATGGGTCAGGGTCAACCAGAAAGATCATAACGAGTCTTGAAAACCCTGAAACTGTAAAGAAGCAACTGTGACAGAATGAATTAAATTCTACTCTAAAAACCAAAAAGGAAAAAAAGAAAACTTTTAAGTTTCTGGTATTGCACAAAATATGCTACAAAGGCAAAGGGACTTTGGACTTTGAAAGACATTGCCTGCCTTGCAGTCATTCTCATGGTGAGCAGGGAGTCAAGATCTTTTCTGACACAGAAAGGATTGAGAGTAAATTTATTTTATTTCTTTTTTTTTCCACCAAATTTTTCCTTTTATTCTCAGGGATTTTAGCCTCTATGTGATTAGGAAAGACATTATCAGTGAATTCTAAATTCTCTTTTAAGAGTATATATATTTCCCTGTTATTCAACTATCATCCTGGTTTTCCAAAACAAATATGTTTTATAAACAGTGAAGTGAATATTCACTTCTTTATGGTGCCAGTATCTGGCTATCTTACCCCCTACACAAAATAGAACAATACTTAAGAATCCCGACACAGGCTTAAATGCGTTCTGAAAAGGCAGGAATAGGTTGCCTTCCTTCCTTTAGACCGTTATGTTTTCTGTGTTGTCACATCAGTTTAGGCCTGGAAACTGCCATGACTCTGGGCTTGGAAGGTCATGGTATCTCCTTTCTACTTGTTTCCCAGGTTCATCATGCATAAGGATAAAGTATTAGATACTGGAGTTCTTAGAATAATTCAGAATTGTATCCGGAGACTTGACAATATTTTTTGTTTGAGTAATCTCATTTTCTCCCAAATTTCTGTCTTGGTCTGGCAATTTGCCAGAGTTGCTGCCTTTTCTCAGTGGTGGTGCCCTTCACAGCAGCAAATACACATCATTTCTTGACAGCCTTTGATTCTGCAAATTCCTCCCAAAATAAAAAAAAAGAAAATACTCAGGACATTTTATATCCTTTTCTCTAACCCTTCCAAAACAACGGTGATGTCTGAAGGTTCATTTGCCCTTTGTCCTCTCAGAAATCACATATCAGGCTGAACTGCCTTGGACTGTTGACCTTTACTCAAACATTTTGTGGTTCTGAAATTCTAAGTGGAAAAAAAAAAAAAAAAGAAGAGTCTTAAAATCCTGCTCCTGGTTCCTATTCATAATCATACTGGCCTTTACAAAGAAAAATCATAAAATGAGTTTGCTACCTGTACAGAATTTAACAGAATAAATGAAAATTATTTAAAAATAACATCTATTTCAGTACTTCAAAAATATCTAATTAAATATTCCATTAAATTTTCATGCATGCACCCTGGTCTTCCCTATCCAGTCAGGTCATGCTATCTGTTTTAATTACACTTCCTGAGCACTGATCAGCTACATGAATACATTTTTAGCTGATGTCCTTTTTAATTCAATGCATATTTTCTACTAAATATAAATTTACACAGGAAATACCGTAAGTTCTTTATTTCCACTTATCTGAAAACCAAAGTTCATACAACTTATTGATTTAACTGGGCTTTTTCTTTCTGAAATTCTACAGTGCCATCCAAACTCCATTTCAATATTAATTTATGATAATCATCAACCATGATAGTAGTAATAATAAGAGAAAAACATGATCTTCTCATATTTATCTACTGTTCTTGGAACAGTACTAGTGAAGACCTGAGGTTCAGTGTACATGAAAATCACCAGGATTTTCATGAAGATATTGTGAGCACATGGCTTTAGCAATTTCCTTTCTCCTGTCAAAATTACATATGCAGGAGTCAGTCCTTCTCCCTATTTAAGAAGTTTATATAGGAAGATAACAGTAAAAGCAGAGCGTCCAAGTTCAGATACTAAATGCTACATCAATCAATAAGGGACTTTAACTGTCACAGAGGTCCTCTGTGCACCTTTTGCTCTGCTTGGATTTTATTTCTGTCCATATCTTTCTCATCTACCACATTCCTATAGGCAAAGACTCTTACAAATTTATCATCAAATGGAAGAACCACGAAGCTATTTTCGAAGGATATTAGTCAACTGAAATAAAAAATTGTTCTTCTGATCTGTTTAAGCCAACACTCTTCCTCTACAGTTGTGATGCTAAATTTTTTGTACATATCACTGCTGCCATAAGCTGTCAACTTTGGCTCTACTCACAATGCACAAATAGAGCTAGACTTATTTATAATGGGTTGTTTCTCCTAAAAAACAGTTATGCCCTGAGCTTACTTTGATAGTAATTACAGTTTACAAAAAATGTGTTTGATATCTGCTACTATTTGTCCAGACAGTTGAAAAATATTAATGACAAAATAAACAAAGGACTGGAGAAATAATGCTGGAGTTTTTCATTGTAGGTAACCTCCCATGAGAGTAGTTATCTATGCAGACCAAAAAGGTAATTATTATTTACAAGGTTTTCTTGCTTACTCTGGGAGATGTGATAATTTTCTGGTGGTGTTAAGCTGTTTTCTTCACAAGCAATACTTTTCTCCTTAAAAGATTAAACACAGATTTATTAATTGCTTTCAATATTTTTGCTTTTAAATAAGGCTTTTTTTTTGCTTTTTTTCTCTTTTCCTTTTTCTTTTTTCATGAAAAGTAAGTCATGAGAAGCCAGAAAACAAAACAAAAAAAAAAACCAAAAACAAACCCACACAAACCAACCAAAAAAAAAAAAAAAAAAAAAAACACAACAAAAACTCAAACAAACCAACAATCCCATTAGAAAATGTTATGGTTTAAACCCAACCACGCAGCTCGTTCACTCACTCCCCCCCCTTCTTCCTCTGTATCGCCCCACACAATAATGACTCAAAGTCATCAAGAAGAAAGAAGTCAAAAATCAAGTCCTACTTTCTACAATGTATTCTATTTCATAGGATATATATATATACTACATATACATTTCATCTCTGAAGAAGCTAGAATAACAAGAGGTTACACAGCCCCAGGTCCAGAAGTGATTGATATAATATGACTTGCACCCTGCTCAGGCAGGCTACGTGCCTCAGAAGCAGAGGCTGTTAGTGTACTGGGTGATGGAGCAGGCCAAGGAGTGTTCAGATGATTGACACCACTGTGAGGGGTGATGGAGGACACACACAGAATAACTGGTGGTACCTTCTCGTGCGTGTTTGTGCTGCAGAGGGTAGGAAAGTTAACCATGGGGCCGGAGGTCTCATCCAGAGCACATCCAGAGCCTATGGCTCAGCCTGGGCTTGCACCCAGATGCGTTGGATGTGGGACAAGTCTAGGCTCAGGCATATGACTTACATTAAAAGACAATTTATTAATGTATGTATAGATATATTTATATACCCACATAAATCCACTTCCTTAGATACTTTTATCATGATTTTCATAAGGGTATGTAAACATTAAAACCCCAAGCATCCAAAATGGTTTTGTACAGGTACAGCATTTCCATAACAAAACACATTCACCTAAAAAGTGATATTTATCTCTGAAACTTCCAAATAGCTTGTTCAAGATTTTTAGGAAAAAAAAAAAACTGTTTAAAACCAACAGGTATTTAAATTCTTCCAAGCTTGACAATGTCTGGCTTGCTCTGTAATTATAATTTACCAGACATAAGGCCAGAGGGTAATTTTTTCCTGATGTTTCCTTTATAAAAATGAGCAGTGAAATCAGAAAATACACCAATTTTCTCTTTATTTAAAAAAAAGTGAAAATCATAGTTACCTGCTAAGAGCCATCTCTTTGATGCAATTTATGGATGTAAATAAAATACCACATCTAGGATCACCAAATAAGAAACAAACGTACTGCAAACCAAAAACTACTTGTAATTTATTTTTTAAATCTCTTTTTACTTCAAATTAATAAAATATTTAAAAGTTAAATAAACCCAACCTAAACCCAAAGCAAATCAAAGACAGCTTTTGTTAAAAGCTTTTCTAGCAGTAAAGTGAACTGAAAGCAGCTGATAGGAAAAAAAGAAAAAGAGCAATGCAAATGTTTTCATGCAAATGCAAAAAAGAGAATGGAATGTATGAGATATTTAAGATAAAAAGCCCTTGATATATAGCTAAATAACTAACACAGTTTAAACATAATAGCAGAAAGAGAAATTCTAAAATGATAGACCTACTTGTAGACAGAGAAGATGTCATTTTAACAGGTACAAAAAAAGGCAGAAGAATTCCTTATATACTTCAGAAGCAGGGAGTTCAAATACACATATCAAACGAAGGGAGATCTTTTTAGCCCATCAGTACTTAATGATAAATAAAGCCTGGTAGTGTGAACAGTAAAGATGAATAAGGATGTTTACCTATTTAACAGTGAAGACTCAGAATTTAGTTTCCATTTGAAGCTGGTTCATAATTTATTAACTAATACATTTGGGAAGTAAGTTGGTTTCACTGGCTTTCAATACTGATTTCTTTCATCTTTTAACAATATAACAAAAATTTAAAATTAATCTTGCTACCAGAAGCAAGTACAAATGATTTATAATAACGTAAACTTTTTTCTCCAAATTAAATTAGTATATAAAATTAGTGGTGATTCATGTCATCAAATCATCCAAGAAATGTGGAACCTAGGCACCCATCTCAGCTAAATGTTCACATCCTTCACAGGTCAGTAATGAGAAATAGCTACCTAGGCAGAAGTGATTCATCATAACATCAAGCAGGTGTCTAACCTCCCATTAATAGCTATTTAGGTTTTGACTCAGTATCTTTGAAAGTTGAAAAACGTTGATTTAAGTAGATGAAAATAACCACTTGGGCATCTTTGAAAGTAAGGAATTTCTTAAAATAGAGATGTTTATTACTAAAAATTCTATCTTTTGGAGCTATCATGAGCAAATGACAAATACAGAATTATTCACAATATACAATTTTGTTTCTCCTTTTTAATAACAATACTTAAGTGTAGGTAACATATAACAATGAATATTCCCTACGAGTGAAAAATTTAAAAGACATCTTAAGTTTTCTTACACTAGGTAATCTGAAAATAAATTAGACCTGCAAAGTGTAGAGCAATTAACCTTCTTACGTATTATATATATCTCTTATAAAGCTAATTGCATTTTAATTGGGTTTCACTAAGTGGACAGTTTTGGAATGAGAAATTAGGTTTTAAATATTTTTGGTTTTAATTAGTGCTAATTTTACTGGTGATTTGCTTCAGCATAGCAGTATCGGGGCTGAATTAATACTGCCTGAAGCTATTATACATTTCAAGGCCATAAATGTTGTCAAGTTCTGTAGTTCTGAAGAAAAAAAATGAGGAAGTTTGGCCCCAAAAGGAAAAATAACTGAATTAAATTCTTAAGCTATAATGGTTCTGCAAATATTCTAGGAAAGGCATTTTGCGCTGCAAATCTTTTCATATTTTGAAATAAATTTGACCTTTTTCTATGTGTATAGTCTCAACAGAACCCTGGATTAAACTTGAATATTTGAGATAAAAATCTTTCATTTTTTTCTCAAATTTACTTCCCATTATGCGACAGTGTCTTATTCATATTCACTAGCAAATATACAAATAGTCCTTGTGAAATAGCTTCCTTTAAAAATGAGGGCATCTTTTCCTAACCACATACACATTTAATATCTATCTTTTGAAAGCATCCTTTTGGCTTTTATTCACTTGCTAGCACTTCCTTCCTATCTGCAATGTCATCTTTTCACCAACTGTTAGCTGGGCTTTATGCATGTGCTTCATCAAATCTCCTTGCTCCCCTTTTCCTGGTATCCCTGACCCTCCCTTCCACGGAGGAACACCTGTTGCTCATTCTCTGATCATGACAACTGGAGTCGGATGAATTGGAGTGGTTGAGTACCCTGGGATATAACCCAAAGAGGTTGATGAGGCCTTTTCCTCTCAGGGTGAGCATCATTGAAATTCTTTCCCAAATGTTTTATGTCAATGATGTTCAGCTGCAGTATCTTTCAGGACAAATCCCAAGACCCCGTTTCATTCATAATTTCTGTTGTTTGCCTAATTGTGTATGGTCTGACTGCATGTGGGAGTCTGTTGTGTTACTAGCTGCTACAGTGTTGCTTAGTTGAGGCATGTTGTGCTTTTGTAATATATTATCATGTCTCATTTGCAGATGCCACACTTAGGGGCTCCTAATACCAATAAAGTTAGCTTAGAAGCTACCATTCCTCCTTACTTCTGCAATATGATATGCTCCTCAAACAGGAGAATGGTTAGCCTTACAGAATAGTGGTTCTGAAATAACATAATACTATAATCAGATAAATCACACTTTTGAATACATGTATTAATGAATATGCTTTTCTATGTATGTGAATAAAACAAAAGGAATAATTAAAAATCATATATTATTGTGACTCTAAAATTAGTTTCTCACAGATTTGTTTCATATATGAATTTCATTAGCACATTGGTTTTTATTCTTTATTAATAGAAAATAATTTAATAGACTAATAAATAATATTATTTCCTGGCAGGATTGCTAGGGACAATAAATATATTAAAAATTATGAGGGGTGTAGTGTATATTCAGATATAAGTACATGTACCTAAAAGAGACATCTTCCTAGTATACTTGAAATGTTAAATAAACTTCAGGCCATTACCTTTTGATATAATCAAAAGATACCTTTCACCCAGAATGTTGCTGTACACAATACTTTCAAACTTTTTCATTCTGTATGTAGCAGCTATTTTGAACACTACCTCATTTAAGAGTATTCAAAGAACCTTACACACAATAAAAACATGAACATATGGACATACATTATTTCCCAATGAATCTTACTCTGAAAAAAATATCTGAAACTACTATTTAAAGACGTCCCAAGCATTTTATTTTTTGGGGAGAGGTGAAGGGGAGTTATACAGGTATTTTAAGTTTTATATTTATGAATCAACTCTTAATTTTTCACCTAAATATTTTCCTGCCTAAACAAGCATATAATACACTGATGCTAGTGTGGGGAAATCATTCTGATTCCAGAAATGTCTATAATTAGTGGATCTGGATGGTTCAAATTAGCAATATTTGTACTGAAAAAAGTTTTGCAATGAACCTGTGCCAAGTAAAACATCTGGAAAGTCAGAATAGCAACAATCATAGTCTGAACTACAAAGGGAAATTTCAACTAAAATGTAGAAGGGCTCAGTTATATTATGACTAAGGTGGGTAGCCTACATATTGACCTAAAAGACCATTGAAAAGTGCATGCTCATTTAAGCAACTTATTCAGCTCATATAAAAATCAAAGATCAACAGCTCCAGATGTACAGCTTATGTGCAGACATATTTGTATGAAGAAGTGAGCCCTGGAAATGGGTTTGCAATGGAGAACTTATGTATGCGTCCTGCATAGCAAAAGCACAGAC